AGCCATCCTCTTCTTCATCAGAGTTGATTGAATGCAAGGCGTTACCTCGCTCGCTGAAGAAATTCCTTTTCTCAACCTGCCAAATGAAACATCTGGGGATGAGGGGGAGGAGGAGGGTGGCGGATGGGCTGCGAGCGCGGCTGTGCGTGGGGTAGCGTGTGGTGCTGGGGCCGTTGCACAGGCTGCATCTGGGGCTGAGGGTGATTGGGGGGATACGTCGATGGGTACGGAGGATGGGTCTGTACCGGGTGGGGCTGCGGCACAGGGTGGGGCAGAGGATGAGGAGGTGCGGTGGCTCGGCGGGAGAGGTGAGGCGAGCCCAGGAGATTGTGCGGGATGATGGCCACAGGTGAGTCCTGGGACTCTCCCTGGGTCGATAACGTCCTTACAATGACCTCTCTGGCCTCCAGACCTTGAATCCTGTTTAAATCCACGCTCACATAGTCGGCTGTGGGGAACAAGACCTCCGCTATCTGCATTCACAAAGGAACCACAATGTTTTTTACCAGAAATTCACTCAGAATGACCAACATTCAATATTACACTGCTCAAAAAAATAAAGGGAACACTTAAACAACGCACGCTAAGTCCAAGTAAATCAAACTTTTGTGAAGCACATTCAACTCTGTACAGAACAAAGTACTCAATGCAAATATTTCATTGATTAAGATCGGGAGTTAGCGTGCGTTGTTTAAGTGTTCCCTTTATTTTTTGAGTGGTAGTGTTCCCTTTATTTTTTTGAGCWGTGTACTTCCTTTGCAGCTCTTTCTTGATATAAGCAAACAGGTGTTTGCATCATTTATGGCTGCTGTAACATGATTGTGGAGAAATATCAGTTAAATGCGTAAATGTAAATAATTATGACTTTAGGATGTCACGAGCTTTACCAAACTAACCTGTTTCAGTAAAACAAGTAGCTTTGTGTGTCATTAAGTTAAAATCCCATTAAAGCTTGTTGCATTTTTAATTGGATCACAGGAAACTCAACTTGTGCTCCTCCTCTTGGATCTGTGTTCAAGCTCTACACTTTGCTCCAATCGTTCAGTGTTTCAGAACAAATGAGTCGAGGTGGTGTTAAAGTACCAGAGATGCCTGCAACTATAGTAATGATTGAATTAAACAGAAACCTTCAGCAAACAGAATAAGATTTGAAACCTGTTCAAGGGAGTTTATTTGATATTAAATGTTTGTGAAGGATCATGTTTGTCAAGGGTTAATACCGTTTTTTTWAAATTTCCTTTTTCAAGTTTTGGGCTATTTAGTTAAAGCCAATTCCACAGTACTCTCCATAGCATCCTGGCTTTCAGTGAAATACCATACGAGTGTGCAAACACAGCAAAGCATTAACTGTCAAACTGATAACGAGCACAACAGAAGCTGTCACAGGTCATTTTGTGGATGGATCTATCATTCTTGTCCCTCAACACTGGATATGAAATATTAATCTTTTCTCCAGGAGATGGCAACAGAGATCTACTCACAGTAATAACCCTTGAGGAAGGGAAGACAAGTCTCAGCCAGCTGGAGCTGTAGTGTAAGATTAGAAAAGAAAGACTATAAAGGGAAATGGTACCTTTTGTCCCTTTGTGCAAACAGCATAACCAATTACACTGGCACCGTTGGAGGTTCCTGAAGGTGTCAGAGGGGGCGGCTTCCAACGGACCTGCAGGACCCCCGGTGTCTGACCGCACTGGACCTGCACCTCCTGGGGAGGTAGAGGGGGCCCTGAAAAAGATATGCATATAGTGGATAAAGAGAAGAAGAATAGCTCAACGGTGTTTGAAGATGTTTTGAATATTTGATCAAAAATGAAACCAATAACTCAGTATTCTTATTGTAACATGGCATAAATTAAGATTATTCTAACTTCAGAAGAAAATTTCAAATTTGGAGAAGCTTTATTCTGACCTGATTGATGAGCTAATGGCTGGTGTGAAAACTCCAGTCTCAAAAATCAGAACTGTTCAGTGCTGCTCTAATTCTACACTGCTGTCAGTTTTGCAGTACTCAGGCAGAAATATTACATTTCCACAGGAAGTGCCTCTAGGTTGAAAGTGCTACAGCTGCCTGCTGCCGTCGCCATTTGTGTTGGTAAATTACCATGGATTTCTTTGTGAAAGTTTCTCCAAACTGAGGTCATTCTCAGAGCAAGTTACAACAGGTAAGATATTCGTTTTATGGCATTTTCACAGAACTCTGTTTCATAAATCTCAACTATTATTTTAAACAGTACAGAGATACAATCTGTCAAGACAGAGCTTGTTCAGAAATTTACTTCATAAGATGAATTTATTGTTTTAATCTCAGGTTTTTATTATACACAATCATTTTGTTTTTCCATTGAGGGAAGGTGTTAATGTTGGTAGAAAATTTCAAGTTTGCCCACATTCAATCATCAGCAGAATCCTGGTGCCAAATTCTCACTGACAATTTTCTACGAAGAGGAACACAGTTTGCCGTTTCCACAATCTGTCAGTGCTGCCTGCATACTAAACAACATGCCATCTGTGCAGCGCTGCCGYTCACCTGGAGTCAAACGGTGAGCGGCAGCAGCAGTCAGCAGTATCTGCAGCAACATGCAGCTGACGTGTCTGGGAATCTACGTCGATGCARTTTATTCACATTTATTTTATGTTTTTTTTTAAATTACACTTCCCGACAGCGGACAACACAGACTTGCAGCAGCAGCAGTGGTTGTTTGGAGATTCCATTTTCTCTTGTCATTTTCAAACTGCACCTCCCATAAACAAGCTCCCTCCATAAAGTGAAATGACCATTCAGACTAATATTTCACAGGAGCCACTTTCATTAATTCTGGAAAACAAATGGCAGAGGCTGGCAGTGAATTGTTGGCGGCTCCGAACTAATGTTGACAAAAAAAGTATCGCTGAGGACTAATGAAGTGCCTTGTTTGAAGAACATGCTGAGTGGAAAAAGCCTAATGCAGGGCTTCCAGACACTGTCCTCCTTATTGACAACAGTTGTCTACCACCCATCCTGACACTATTTCAGGTGCCTCTAATTAACATGTCCAATAGACGGATCATTTAATGAACTCTCAGCATGAGTCCACATCAGCTGCCAAAAGGGAAAATGTCAATTCAAGACTTCAAGCATCAGTTTCTCTCTGTTCTCATATATTTTCTGTCTTTAATGTCGTAACTGTTTTTTTTTTCTTCTCATTTCATATTTGGTTTTAATTTTGCCTAACAAATAACTAACAGCAATGTAGTTAAATGGTTCCAGTAAATCTGGAAATGTCAGGCAACAGGACTGCTGGCAACAGAACAGCAGCAAYGAGCCTCGTGGGAGAAAAAGTATTAAAGATCTAAGCCTACTGTTTACACTCATTTGGCTGAGGGAGATGCTTGTTTCCAGTACAATGCATTTCTCTTTTCATTGAATACTTTCTCAATGATTTTTAATTACATCTGATTTTTCCTGTAGATGTGTCTTTATCTCAGTCAAACAAGCACAGAAATGTAACCGGGATCMAAAGAGAGAGGTAAGATGTTTGGCAGGACTGAATCTGTGATGGGCTTTTAGTGAACGGATCGTTTTGTTGTTTGGAAATTACCTGCTTTCCCTTTCATAGAAGGATAGTCTCCTTTTACCCAGATTGCACCTTTAACACAAAACCCAAGAACTACATTTGCTCTTACAAAAATGCTTCCAGCTACAAAAAGCTAAAAATGTAACCTAACATTAAATAAACTAAATTAAAAGCTGGTAAACAAGAGCAATGCTTTTGTTGCTGAAAAGCTAGACCATCATCCACCAATCTGTTGGAGMTAGAAAGATAAAAAGACTGATTTGTTCAGAGGCTGACCAAACATTTTGCATACAAATACCAAAGTATAAAAGTCTCCAATACCCCAAACATCTGTTTCCAACTCATGTGGTGCACAGGTAGGTTTGCCTGGCATAACCAAAACTTACAAACAGGACAACACTTAAAAAAATCCATGCAAACAGAAACCTAAAGAATTAAATCTGTAGTTCTGAAGCATGAAGAAATTGACAGGAAATGCTGTTTCTACGACCACGTTTGATTTCTGCCAAAGAGGCAGAGGGTCTCTTAAAATGTTGAAACACTGGGGGCTAAGCCCAACACTGAAATATTTTCATTTTCTCATGACATCTGCATAATTGTTAGGTACATTTAAAGCTAAAATATTTTAGGATGTACTGTAACAATTATAGATTTTTTTATTAACAAGAGAATAAAATGCAGRACCCTAAAATATTTGAAATTTGAAAATATATTAACTAATAAAAAACCCTTGTCCTTTTATGACAGGTTGTTCTCAGGATGTGAGAAACAGTAGTCTTTGTCCATGACAATCTCATATWAATATAATAACCATAACAATCCTTTCTGCCTGCTGAGCTCAAGCTGGATAAAGATACAGATCACCCCTCGTAACTTATTTGATTATTAGATGAAACATCTCAACTCTGCTTCTGCAGCAACACAGTGCAGCTCCACCTCCAGCCTAACGTGCACCGACCTCTCCAACATTCTGATATCTGCACCACAATTGAGCTAGCACACTGTTATGATGAACCTTTCTGGCACTTCATGAGCATAATTAAAGTGTCATTGTGCACAAAATACTGTATGTGATGCAGGTATTATGAAGTAGACTGTTGTGTGTAAAATAAAGAGAAAGCACAACCCAGTGAGWGTGTTTTTAGGCAATTTTTTAAACTTTCCTACTATATTAGGAGCTYAATAAATAAGATGAAATCTGTGTGTGTGTGTGTGTGTGTGGGGGGGGGGTTATATTTATTTTTTTCGTATTAATTTATTTCAGAAATTAAATTTTTGAGAGTGATACTTGATTGCAAATTGCATTGGAAGGCTCATATTGAAAATGTAAAAGCTAAAATGTCAAAAACTATTGCAATATTAAATAAAATAAAAATACTTTCTAAATAAAAATCACTATACATTTTATACATTTGCTTAATAATTCCATACATGGCTGACTGTGTGGAAATCTGGGGAAATTCTTATAAAACCAACACAAAACCTGTCTACATTCTTCAAAAGAAACTATATGAATTATAAATGCATCAGATTATTGTTGTCCAACTAATGAAATATTTCTTACACTGCATACTTTAAAATTGCATGATTTAGTAGGGCTTAGAACAGCACTGACAATGTACAACGCTTATATTAAACTCCTTYCACTTTGTATACAGAAGTAGTTTGAAATTAAACAAACAAAAACTATGAATAAAAAAAGAAATGCCTATTCAAAAAACAAAGATTAGGATAAATATTAAAAACAATTGTACTTGTGTTAGGCAGATTTATGTGTGGAATAATCATTGTGAAGAGTGAAAACTGTTTTTTACTTATTAAATTTAAAACAATGTATGAAAAATATTTGTTACACAAATAYAGCAAGGTTTGATTATGATTGTTTGCTCTTTGATTTTGTTACAAATTAGGTTAGAATTTCATTTGAGATTTCCWTTAGAAAAATCTATAGAAAAGACGTTGCTGTTTTGATTTCTGTAATGTATGTATAAAAAGCTTATGCTTCTACCTACATTTTTTTGTCTATACCTTGTGTTTTTGACATTGATCATGACAGGAATTCAAATATTGAATTCGGTTTTGTTGTCATTGTTCTGTTTTTATGTTGTCTTGTAAATGGAAAGCTTAAAAATGACAAAAATAAATAAAGAAATTCAACAAAATTCTGGCATAGGGTTTAGAGCTAAACCCCAGAGTGTTCAGCCCGAACACACAAATACATAAAGCATGTAAAAACATTTCTTTTCTTTACAAAAGAAATTCAAGTGTGGGTTTCAGAGACTGACCTGCAGACTGAGTGCAGAACTCCACAGAGATTTCCCCTTTTTCCCTTTGATCCATTGGAAGCTGCCAAGGCACCTGATGTGGCTGTGCGACAACCTTGACCTTGTAAACTGTCATTGGCTTCAAGTTTAAAAACTTGTACTTGTAGCCCCCAGCCTTGACCATGTCGTACTCTGCACCGTTGAGGAAGATGGTGTGACTGTAGTTGCTGTTGCTGGGCATCCAGGAGAGCTCAGCAGAGCACTGCGTGATGCTGTCCACCCGTAGGTAGTACGGCGCCACCACCACGTCTTTACCAACCAAAAGAGTGCACCGCAGCTCGTCTGATGGGCCTCGGTCTGTGATGCTCTGCACCGAGATCCGATAGGTGTTTGTGATAAGATTGAGCTTTTCAATGAGAGACTTTGTCCTACCCCCGTAGGGGACACTCATCCGAACCTCCTTATCAACCAGTACATTGTAGCCACTGATGGAGCCCCATCCTGGTGGGACCACAGGAGGATCCCAGCCAATAATCACACTCTTAGCCAGTTGTTTGATCAGGGTGATGCGACGAGGATAAGGCACAATGTCTTCACCGACCTCATCAATGTTGACGTTCAAGGTTCCTGTCCCATTGCTGCAGGAGCCAAGGAAGTCCACGCCCAGGCTGCTAGTACTCAGACAGTCGAGTTTACTGTCAGGCAGCAGACTGCTCAGGCCCACTCTTGTTCCTGCACTGGCCAAATGTCGCTGAGGCCCCAGGCTACTGTGGTTGAGGTAACCAGGTTCTTTAGCTACTGTGTCCCTRTGCTGGACGGAAGGCTTCTCCTCATCGTCAATGAAATCCACAAAATTGGATGGGACAAGTCCCCGCTGTCCATCCAGCAGCTCTCCTGGACAACAAAATGAGTTTAGTTAGTGATGTGGTGATGTGTTAAAGTAAATAAGATTAACTTAAAAAAAAGAATGTATAACCTTCATAAAAGCCATCATCGTCCATTGTTCCATATATGTAGAGGTACTTCCCGGCCACTAGGGGGAGCTCTGCTTCTGGATGCTCATTAGGCCCATCATATGGATTGTAACTAATGAAATTATAAAGAAACAACTGAACAAATCAGACACAAATATTTTTTGCCTTTATTTTAGCTTTTATCATCCTTTTGTCAGCTATACAAAACAATAATAATATTTTAAAAATAGATTTTGTAGAAGCTGCTTTGAGAAAAGTGTTTATTTATAATGTTTATTTAATTATTTATTTTACTTTGAGACAACAGCACAGTTTTGTTGTCAACTTTAACCCTCTTTCACAGAAACGTGTTTCTTGCATTTATTTGACTGACAGCTGATTGTTTTATCCTTGAAAACAGCTAATCACCTATAAGACAACACATGGCAGGTATGTTAAGAAAAGTTAACTATTCTCTGCAAATAATTTCCCTTCGTCCACAACTTGTACATAAATAGACTGTTAAATTTAACTAAAAACTGATTTTCCACAAACCCTTTATCCAAAGGTGAACCTTCCTTTTTACAGTTTAAAGGTTTTGTAACTAAAAACCTCCTGATACTTAAACAAAAATACAAAAATAAAAATCCAACTTAAAGCACTGTTAAAAAGCTTTCTAATAGTTGTGTCATAATAACTCATGGAAGGTGAACAGGTGTGCTTACCTGTATCGAGCAACACACAGACGAACCTTCCCTGTGAAACGTGGTTTGGACCTGGTTGTTGAGCTGAGCTCTTTGTCCATCTAAAGAACAAAAACACAAAGTCACTCTGTTTTTAATTGACTTCAGACTCAGACGTTAAGATTGTTTGAGCTCAAAAGTTCTAAATTTTTTTCGTCATACAAAGGGAATAAACTAATACCAACACCTATGTAATTGTATAATAAAAATATATAAATGTTCAGACATATTTTCTTTGCTGTTGAATCTTTCATCAAATGTTTCGACTTTATAAATGTTAACGTTTTACTGTATTCAGTCTGAAGTTCCTTTTGGTTACTGCCACTACCACTAATGGTTGCTTAGTGTGGATTATTAAGTCATTTCTTCAGAAAAGTTGTCTGGGTAAAAGACAATCTTTTAGGATCTTTACTATTTACATGCTCTGTTTTTCTCAGCTGGAAAACATCACATGAACGAATTAAAATGATTATCAGGCTAAACAGCAATAGAACAAATGWGTGGGGTGATGATTTTCTTTTAAATCCTCGTTTTAATGGTTGTTTTACTTTCAAGTTTTATTTGGTCACAAAATTATTTAGACATTAAACACAGGCTGAGGTTCACCATATTYCTTTTGTTTGATATAAATGAGGCGTGTCCAGGCGATTTGGAATAGAGAAATATTCATTAAAGTAAGAAGAACACAGGATGCAGGCGGACACTAGCAGGTACCTCAGAGAGGAACGCTCGTGCTGGGCTGCTGGCCCGACAGCGACTGAGGAATGTTGGCTTAACAGAGAGGAGCTCAGGTTTGTCTCCACTGATCTGGAGCGGCCGGATGAACTCTGATATCAGAGATCTGCTTGTTGGAACCTCGGTCCCTGTGGAACAGAGAGTCTGTCAACAGATCCTCACAACACTAAATAACAGAACTAATATTACAGTGCACAAACGTATACTTCATGYATCATGTATGTGAGTGTGTTAAAGTATATAATCAGCTGTAAAAAAAAACAAAAACAGGAAGCTTTAGGGGTTAATTAGTGTCATTTATTGTCCTAACAAGAGACAGGTACTTAAAGGTTTCTCATCTCATTAAAGAACAGATTTCTCACCTGACGTGAACAACATGTATTTATTACCAGCTGCCATCAAAGGTTTTCATAAAGACTGGACCAAAACAATTTAGTAAAAATAGGTAATTAAATCTGAACAATATTTTTCTCATACTGATGGTTATTGTGTCCCTAAATTAAAAATTGTGACCAGACGAAAGCTACCATGTGCGTTTCTTCACCCAAAAAACAACAAAAGTGACTGAAATCAAAACATTATTCAACTGTTGTGTGCCTAAMTGGTCTTTTGAGGTTCAAAAAACACAAACAGCAAAGGTTTAATCAAACCGCAAGTGCGCATTAGAAATAATTTGTAACAATTTTAGTAGCAAATCCAATTTATAATTGATGCTGTAAGCACTGATCATCTCTGTGCTACCTTTCTCGGTCGGCGCAGCCAATCCATTTAGGAGCTGGGATAAGGATTTGTTGGGGGATCCGGGGGATTCGCTCACAGTTAAGGGTTCGCAGCTGAGGATGTCAAACTTCCCAGCCTGGAGCCGGAACTTCTCCAGCTCCTTTGACAGCAGGTTGAACTGCTCACTCTGAGACCGACATTTCTCCTCCAGCTCGCGGACTTTGGCCTGGTGACAGTGAGGGGGGAGAGTCATCGAATCAGGAAAAGAGGGAAGGCAGGGTGGGAATAAAAGGGATAGTGACAGAAAAGAAAAACACATGAGCTTCATGGTGTGAACAGAAACACTCTGCATGTGTACAGAGACACAAATACTAACCACTGTTTACACACATTTACAGATCTTCTAACACTTACTGGACTTATCAAACAGACCAGTCATTACAGAGGAAAGACAGATCAAATGAATTTCTGTTACACCTGACATGTGACATGCATCACTACAGTACAATAACATTATAAGGCCACAAAATAAAACTAAACAATTTGTTTTAGAGCATGAGAATGATGGTGTTCTACATGTTTCTTATTAGTTTCATACCATATWAAGCTCAAAACCAACAATTTCATCATATGAATTGGAAGGGCATGTTTACTTCAAATCTGAAATGTGCTGCTGTAAGACATAAAATGTGTAGTAAAGCTATAGCTCAGATCTTTTTAAAGGGATCCCCAATTAGTTGTAACATTAGACTTTATTTGATAAACATGTATTTTAACTGTAAAATAAAGACTGTAAAAATACTGTAGGCGGTTTAGTTTTGTACATTTTTAAAAATATATTTTAACACGGACAGAGCCATTTTATTTACACACAAAGCATTCTGGGTAAATGATGGCGTGGATAGGTCATCGGAGCGAGGCTGCTAGCGAGCTATATCCACCCTGAAGGTTAATCTTGGACAATATCTGATGATCGACTCTTTTAACCAGAGAGCGTTGACAGAGAGGAGAAGGTAGAAATGACTCAGCCTGTAACTGAAAATATGGATGGAGGACAACAGAGCTGCTTCATGGAAGAAGAACCTCAGCTTAGTCTGTTAGCCTTTGTGCTAGCACTGACGCTGTATTGCCTTATAGGTATTTGCTCGGCGCTACCGCGACAAACTAACAAGCTAAACTGAGGTCCTCCATCCATATTTTCAGTTACAGGCTGAGTCATTTCTACCTCCTCCTCTCTGTCAATGCTCTCTGGTTTCATTTAAAAGAGTCGATCATCAGATATTGTCCAAGATTAACCTTCAGGGTGGATATAGCTCGCTAGCAGCCTCGCACCAAGGACCCATCCATGTCATCATTTACCCAGAATGCTTTGCATGTAAATAAAATGGCCCCGTCCGTGTAATATATTCTTAAACTTTTAGTTTAAAAATGATAAAAACTAAACATCCTACCGTATTTTTACAGTCTTTATTTTACAGTTAAAATACGTTTATTAAATAAAGTCTAATGCTACAACTAATCGGGGATCCCTTTAAGTCAGGTTTCATGAAAAAACTTATAAGCAAATAGTGTCACCTGTTGTAGACAGCAGTACAGTGACCTCAGTTTTGAGACAGTTTATTTCTGACCGGAATGACAAGATAACAGCTGATCAGACCAGTGCCAAGCCAAAGTGGATTGTGGTTGTCTTATAAGAACTCCAGTCTTAAAAAAATTCAAGCTCCAAGATTTCAGACGACCAGGTGAAAGTGTCTGTTAAACCCACATGTTGATTTTTCAACACTCTACCAGCTACTTGCACCTCAACYTGGTGAGGGCATTAACATCAATAAAAGTTCATCTGATCGGCTAAAATACAGTTTTAGGATGCAGAGCATAAATGTGTGGTACATAGCCGTAACAGCACAGCCTGAGTCTGCAGCAGAAATCCCTTAGAGTGTCCAAATTTAGTTGGTTTTGGTCTTTTCAAGGCATGACGACAATAAGAAAAACATCAAAGAATGGCTGCTGTGCACTTGAAGAGCAGGAACATCTGATGCATGAAATCACACCTAAAGACTGAACGTAATTGTTTGGGCAGGTGTAAAAATAACTCCAGGTGCTAAAGTCTGTTTTCACAAGTGGAATGACACCGTTCACTAATCAGCAGTCTGAAGCTAAGATTCTGTGAAAGACACTGAAGCTACTGTGGAATATTCCTGCTCTGCCCAACAGACAGCTCCAGTTTGTGCTGCACAGGAACTCTTGAGTCCAATWCATGCATACAGGACGCTGCTAGATAGAACATGCTGCTAGCAGACTGACAGAAGCGACATTTCTACGTTTATGAGACAATTAGTAAATTAGGAAATGTTAGTTTTAGAAGGATCCCAGCGTGCTCAACTGTATGGCAGTAGACAGCTTTCACACACATGCTGGCTGACACTCATGCAAACCTACAAAGTAAAGAGATCACATTTGTTTATCGCTGTTTGACAATGTTTCAGTTGATGAAAATACACAATTTCACATCCACAATGTTGACATCTTTAACAACACTTATACTGTGAAATATGCTTTTAAAAAAACTGAAATAATAAAAACGTTATGCTAAAATGTCATCAGCAATTRCTTGTCCTCTGATACAATCATTTACAAAAAAAAAAAGTCCTAGCCATCCCCTATTGTATTCTATTCAATTTAAGGAGTCAGACATTTTTGTATCCTTTTTAAAGAAGCCTTGAGTAACATTTTTGTGAAAAGRCAGCCTGCAGATTTATGGTCAGGATGGTCCAGAAAGCTCTCATGGGCAAGCGTGAGGGAAGAGAAGCAGATAGCCAATATCTGGGGAAATAAGTTATTAAAGAAAAAAGTTCCCTGAAGATCTAAGACAAGACCTAAGRGATGAATCATTCTTCACTTGACTGATCTACTTTGTGCCACATAGCATTTCAAATCTTACTTCTAACATACGAAGCTCTCAACAACCAAGCTTCATCATATACTGTATTAAAGATCTTTAAGTGTCTGTGACACCAATTTTTTGTGATAAATGTGATTGCACTTTTGGAAAGGTAACATAGAAAACACATTGCAAAAGCAATTGTATACCACTGAGATGAACAGTTGTTGAGATATTTGCATGTGAAGTAACAGGAAGTGATGTCAAAGGGGAATGTCTGACTGTAAACAGAGCATTGCTACAATGGTCACAACACAGACAGCAGGGAATTTTCTGATGTTTCTTTAGATAATTTTAGTCCCTATAAGAAAAAATGAAGAAAATTCAAATTTGAAATAATAATGGGYCTCATGCAAGAACCGTTCGTACGCACAGATTTGTTCTTAAGTTGTGCGTACGAGTGATTTAGGAGAATTTGTGGCATTCACCAATGTTTTCGTATTCTACGATTTTTTTCAGATACGAACAAAATTCACGAGTGGTCCAGACCTGTCGTATGTTTTACGAGCAGTCAGTCTGCTGTTATCCAGACGGGTTTTCCTCCMTAATAACTTTATATTTCGCTATTTAGAAAATATTTCAAGTTGAAAATAAATCACACTCTGTGATTATGTTGACAGTAGGTTATTCTGTTTGAACTTGAATTAGATTTTAACAACATTAATTGATTAGATGAAGTTAAATTGTCTTTTAATGCTGTTGTATAACACTACAATATTAATATGAAGATCTCAAACTAAAAAAACAACTTAAATTATGCATTAATTGAAGTTTGGAGACGTTTTAAAATGCGTCTTTTCAGAACCGCATCTGTCACTTCGACCGCAGGGAGGGGGGAGACGGCCAGGTAGGGGGGTGGGGGGTTGCGGTGCGCAACCACCCTTCTTCTGAATAAATGTAAACACAGTAATACAGGTGTTTACACTTAAATTAAAAAAAATATTTGACCAAAGAAAAACCGGAGCWGGACTAGAGAGAGATGAATATGATTTATATTTTATTTCTGTGACTGTAACGACTCACAGGAGACACGACATTAACAGCACATTTCATTCATTTAAGCAGCTCCTTTAATTCCACATGACGCTGCTAAAGAGAACAAATTTTTCTCGATCTCGGAGAGCAGGATTACAATCTCCGAACTCGTAAAGTTCTTCTTTTTTACTTTGCGATGTCGTTTATGAATGGATACTTCCTGGTATGTGGGGCAGGAAACATAGCCTTATATGGTGTTTTTGGGGTGGTAATTATGTTAATCTCCTCTCGTGTGCACGAGCAGCTGGATAGAACAGGTGGAATTCACGCAGCTCATTTACACACTTTTCCTGAAGATAGAAGAGTTTGTTGAATCTGACGTGACATGTTCGTACGAACCCTTCATACGAACAAAAGTAAGAGAAATTTAGGATAAGAATACGAACATGTTCTTGCATGAGGCCCATTGTTTTAATAAACAAAAACCAGGGAGTTTTCTTTCTTAAAGAGTTCCGCTTTGATGTCACTTCCTGTTTCATTTTAGCTGAGCCAAATTCAAAGRAAAATATGCCAGTTATGTGACAAAATGGGTTAAATCGTGTTTTATGCCAAATTTCCTAAATATTATGATATTTTCTTTGACTTTTTATATTTTAAGTAWAGGCATGTCACAGGTACTTTAATGTTCCACATTTTCYTAACAAAGCACTTCAGACTCTCAGGTTTACTTGTAGTTCCTATAGTTTCAGTACAGATGATATCCCCAGCATCTTTAATAAATAAAAAAACAAGTTCCATGCTTTTAGAAAACCAACAGATGATATAAGCTTGGTCAGTTTTTAAAAGTTTAGCTGTGTTAGGTGCTTCTGTCACGCTTCAGTGACTGAGAGGATCCTCAATCATATTCTAYAGACTGATTATCTAAAGGCAAAGACTGGACTGAAATAAATAGCAACAAAGAAACCTTTGACTTCTAGAGCCTGACGTATTGTTGCACAAGACCAACTTTAAAGATCACAAGCATGTCTGACTCCCAGGAAGTAAAATGTAAAAATAATGAGGACTGCACCAGATTTTTCACGCAGTGCAGTTTGTATTTTTCTCCCACTTCTGATTGCATTTTCACACAAGTAGAGATGTTTTTCACAAACTTTAACTGATAATTCAAAAGGAACTTTACTCAGTTACACGAGGCAGACAGTTAAATTAATMTTTTTAATGCTTTTTTTTACAAGTTAAAAAACCCTCTTAATTAAGAATTGTTYCAGTAACATTTAATTTGTTCATGCCTGGTTTATAACTCATGTTACTTGTTCACTACCACTTAGCCAGGTGAAGATATTTAATGTTTATCTTTGCTATCTGACATGTCTTCTACAGGTGATCAAGCGGTTGTCTGTAGGAGGAAAGACTTCAAAAACATCATGTTAATAAATAAAAACAATTCTGAAATACCTGCATGCTGTCCAAGTGGTTCTGTTTAAGCGTAAACATACACCCGTACAGTTAAAAAAAAAGAGATGTAGGGAAAGAAATAACACAATTACACATGTGATCACTCATTCGCATCCTGAAAACATAGTATTTCACCGTTTCACAATGCTCATTAAGCACAGACAGAGACTTCATAAAAATACAAAGTTCTAAAATGTGTTTCAAAAGTTGGTTTAACACTCTGGGTGAGGCAGAAGCTACTGAACAGGTTTAAACCAGGACGATAATCMCACACTCCCAGAGTTCAGATACTCACCTCTAACAGATGGACAGCACCTTCATGTTCCTTTTTAGCTTCAACCTGAGCCTGAGAAACACAGGAACATTTCACTCATGCAACAACAGGCTCAATGGATCAGATTTGGTAGTACAAAGAACATGATTATTACTTTTTCATTTTTAGTCTACAGAAAGTGGATATTTTTCATGCTCTGTCAATATTCCTGAAATGAGAGTGGCTCTTAATTTAGATGTGTTAGATGATGATAGATTATCAGCAACACACTGCAAAACACACCGAAAGACCAAAACTATGTCAAATTAAAATGACATGATGTAGCAAAAATAAAGTTGCTAAAACTTGTAGATTTTCATTATTTACTCATTTATTCAGCTCATAGTTTCTCTTTAAACCAGAATCTAACTAAATAGAAATAAAAACACTCCTTCTTTGTCTACATAGGAAAATGATCAACTGATGGATTCACATAAAATTGCTTCATATTTAGTTGTTGAGGTGAGGCCATTCTTTTCTCTTTTTTAATTTTTTTTCCAATATAGTTTTCATGACGTTTATTTATATAAAACTACCAGGCTGCTTGTGGATTTCAGTTTCAGGCCCCTAAAATCTGACAGCTTTATTGGTCATTAAAGTATAATGTTCTGCATGGTTTGGTTTTTCATCTTATAATTATTTACTCAAAGAACTTCTCAGTAAACATTCAGCATGYAGGCAAAAAATTGTTAATCCTAAACTGAATTCTTGTGCAAAGAAACACTATTTCAAGTTTGAATTTTCAAAGTGGGTAATTAGGGAYGCTTCTGTAGTATGCGCAAAAGGAAAAAGTATTTAATAGAAAAAGACAGYGACTGTGAAGGAACAAAGCATAATACGTGACTTTGTCTTATGGGAACTAGAAACATCTGTTCCACATAAATATAGGAGCATGTGTGGACTTTACTATTTAATAAATCTTCCACGCAGCCCATCAGTTTAGGAGAACACAGAGAGCAGAGTGTCTGAAGGAAGATAAGGCGGTAATGAGCTTCTGTTAATGAGACCGAGAGAGAAGCGAGAGCTGCCGCCTGGAAAAGGCTGACTGTGACTTTAGGCCCCCGCAACAACAAACACACTGGGATACACAAAGTTTTTCTAGCGATGGTACTGGTGACAATTCATACCACGTTCACAGCAATTCGCCTGGGTTCGCTTTGACACGACCGTCTGTTCGGGCCGGGGCAGGCTTTTTATCATCGTGCACAGCCAAAAGCTGATCTGTGGGTGATTTTGGTTTTTGGTTCTGCCTGTCATCTGTGTTTGTTGGTGTTTTTCTCTCTGCTCCCGGAGCTTTTSTCGAAACTTTTAGAAACTTATTCAGTGACTATAAAGCTACATCTGATTAACTTTTGAAGTCAGCCTGCTTCAAGATGGCTGCTACAATTTATCAACCCTAACCAGCACAAACATGGCTCAGTTGTTTTTACAGATCAAAACAGTGTGGTAGTAGCTGAGGCTGATATGCAATACATACTCTGAGTGCTAACAGGTCTTACACAAAATATCACGACACTGTGTGAGAGCCTTCGATTTCTTCTCCTGCTCTCAACATAAGATGATCTTACTTTGAAACTCTAAAGGCAGCAGATGACATGCATTTTTCTTCAAGGAATCCTAAGCTTTTATTTTTTTTTTCTGGTGCTGTTTCTACTTTATGTTTTGGATCAGCTTGCTTGTATCAAACACAAGGAGTGCTTTTGAAGTGTCACACACTCGGAGTTTGAAGAATGGTGCTAGTTGCACTGCTAATATCAATACCAGGGGGGTTCTCTAAGCTGTGGAGGATTTTTGAAATAATTCAGCGGCATTTTTGTATGTTATAAAGCCCGGCCTGGCCTCGGTCTGGGTTTAAACTCAGGTTATGTGTATTTGCATTTGCCATTATGGCCAGATCCAGCCTGATTTCAGGAACCCAGAGACCCAGGGTTCTATTCAGGTCAGGCTGCTGGAGCCAATTTGTCATTGTGTTGCTCAGTTTCAGCTGGTCTTGAATTATATAGAGATCAAAGAGAAGTACCACAAGCTAGATGATGTCCATTGTTGTGTTGCAAATAATAACTGATAAGATGATCCCCCTTGCCCACATTGAGGCAGCACTCTGCTTAAGAGACATATCAAGCTTTTAGATCCTTCTTTTTTACATTTAAATTATTACTTTGCAGTCTATATAAAGAACTGCAATGCTTTTGACTGGATTATTTATTGTAAATYCGCAAGCCCCTCTTTCACCCCTTTCCTGAGTCGTGTCTCAAATCAGCTCATTTTGAGGCTGTCTCTTTAAAGCTAAATRAGGCAAATCACACCTCGCCCTCCTTCAGCTTCTAGACTGGTCCATTCCAGTTTGASAGATGGGTTTACAATAATAATATAGCGGCACAGAAACTTTTTACTTACAAATAAATTAAAAAATGTCAACAACAGAAGACTTGTCCATCCAGCCTTACATGTTAGAGCCAGAGTCTGACCCAGAGCCAGAGGAGAATGAAGAATTTGCAGTTAGTATATCCATACCTGTTATGTCTGTTCCGCCACAAAAACTTTATGTAATAGTTCAGAAAACTGGGTTGAAAAATGTGACCCAAACAGAATATAAAGATATCTACGCAGCACCAGGAGGAACTACATTCAACTTTTCTGCACTCTTAGAGACTCCAAGTACACAACAAAATGAATTTAACAGCTAAAAGASTGGATTTTGAATGATATGTCCCRTTTAAAGCAARCACAACCAGGGCTGGGGTAGAATAAGGCCAGGCCTTACAATGCAAAAATGCCATAATAGTGTTTTGATKTGTTGCACAGTAAGAATAGCCCTGCTGTCCACCAAAATGCTCTTTGACCCAGGACATGGGCCACACAACCGTAACAAACAAGAAAGCGCAGATCTCAGGTGCTGTGAGGGTTACACAATCACATTTCCCTTACCTTCTGAAGAAGGTCAATCTCCTGCTGCTTCGCAGTGAGTACAGCCAAGGCCTGCTCATGCTCCAACTCTAGCTGCTGCCTTCGCTCCGCAGCCTCGCGCATATGCTGTCCACAAAAAGGTGCAGGGATGGAGAGCCAGAGGGGAAAGATTGCAGGGGGAGAGGGGGGGAGGACGAAGAGAGGGCTGCTGTTAGTTGCTGTTTACTAAAATCCAACGGCACTCCGTCAACACAACACGCATCTCGAGTCTTCACGTCACTGTTCAGACAGCACAAAGGTGCTGTGCACACTTCAAACACGCAGAGGCTAGTTAACAGTGTGGTGACATTTAAACCCTTTACAAGATGTTTATGTCAGTTCATCTGCAGGAGAAAAAACTAAAAAAAATCTGAATAAATTTGGAGCAGATGAGGACTAGAGATGCTTTGCCGAACAYAAATACAAAACTCTTCAACAGTGGAATTTGCTGCCCCCTTTAGGTAACACAACACCTGTTAAAAAGTCCGGCTAATGGGACTCTGTAAAAAGCCCTCCTCGGGGATGTTGTCTTTGCATGATCAATATGAGGTTTTATGTTACATTAAAAGGGTGAGCAAACTCTGCAGCGTGCTCACTTGTCTGTGATCATCCATAAACAACCAAAGAAGCCATACAGTACAACAGACTGAATGCTAGGCTCTTCATTGCACAGTGTGCCTGTGTCATCCAGTCACATCGCTGCTCCCACTACGTGTGAATATTTGAGACACTGTATGGTGAAGGAAGCAGATGACATTTTCATGCCAGAAAAAAAAAACTTTAGTTCTATGATAGGTAATGTCATCAGACTTGTGGGTGACATTATCATCGTGGAGGGTGCCCCATTCTCTTTACCTCTTCCTCCCCATTCCCGTCATCAGAAAGCCAAACTTATTTTATCCTGCCTCATGCAAAAATAAACCACATACCACAGTGCTCTGGTCTTATAGCCACGTGATCATTTGAATGTCTGGTAAGCAGCCCACGATTAGAGGGAGATTTAAGCACAGCCACTGAGGTGGACAGAAAACATTCAGAATGGGACTAACTAGGGCTGCTCCCCAACAGGTGGACGTAGCAGKGATACCTTTCAAAATCTAGAAGAGGGGGAGAGGGGGGCAGGGGGAATGGAGGTGGCAACAGATCCAGTGAGGTTGGACAACATAAGAAGGGCGAAAAAGGAAAAGGAAAGAGGGCAGACTGCTCCAAGCTCGTGTTCTTTCACAGCTCCTGGTCAGACCTCCCAACACGGCACTGGAAGGCAACAGACATGTCGAGGACATTAGACAGTTCAGCGGTACAGAACCAGAAGGAGGCAGTGTAGCACAGGTAGGAGAGGGGAGAGAACTGGTAAAGGGCTAGGCTCCACAAAAAAAAAACCTGAGTAAGAATCCAGGGACAAATTGGCTACTAGAACTGGAGATGCAGACAGTACCAAGGGACAGTGGAAACACTTGGATCTGGTTTTCCTACCTTGAGCACCTGCTCTAAGTTCTCCAGTTTGACTTGGAGCTGGTTCCTCTCCCAAAGGGCTAAATCTCTCTCCTGCGTCACAACACCAAGGGCCTCTTTAAGCTGAGCATACTCTGACTTCACCTGTGCAGAAAGTCAAAGAACAGCCCAAATTAWGAAAAGGTATTTATTTTTTTAGGTCACACTTTGAAGTTTCCTGAAATACCCATCTTTTCCTCCCGCCTTAAATCATAATACAGTGTCACCACAGTGCAGAAAAGTTAGACAGGTTCAGTACCTGACAGTGAGAAGAATGTAGGCACGACGAACCATTCAGTGCACGGTCCTGGTGCACATTTACTGCGCTTTTCTATATGACACGTTTTGTTTGGGRAACAACATATTTCAGATTTGCTGCCCAAGTTCTTCCACACACAGAGATGAAAGATCCCCCAGGGAGTAAATAAACAACGCTTTTGAACRTTTCTCAGTATGAAACACTGCACCTAACAGCTTCTGAATTGACTTCCCTTCCTCGCAACAAATTTGTAAATCAGTCTTTCAAGAAAAATTGAAACCTCTTGTGTTTGTACGTTAGTCTGCCTTTTCCCCCTCGTGTTTGCACCATGCACAGAAACTTTCTGATGCAACACTGCCCACCCAATACTCTGTTGCATATTAAAATCTGTCTTGTTTGACTCATTGTGTTCCTGAAGGAACTACAGAACAAACTGTAGACCAACAACAACAACATWTCACTTCACAGCTGTGGCCTGTGTACATCAGTTTATCAAAATTATACAACAAATTTTCCTTTACAAAGATCCTTTAGTTCACAACAATGAGAAAGATCTTGTTAGAGACACAACTGTGCTGTATTATTAGGTTYTTCATGCTTTGATTCACAAAAACAGAAGGTGGCGTCTGTAAATAACACAAACATGGCTGTTTTTTTCTAAAATATTTCAGTTTTTACTTTAGATCATTTTTTTTTGTTGTGGTTGTTTCTAAGTCTCAGCCCAGAGGTCAGAGATGGTGTTAGCAAACAGAACACCAGAGATTTACCCAGTTTGTGGGTTCTATAGCTCTGTTTTAAACCACAGGACTACAATGGCTGCCATTTTTGTAGTTCATTTCATCCTATAAAAAGAAATCAAATGTATCTACATGGCACATTTAAACACTGCTAAAGAGCTGCACACAAAACAAAAAGCAGTAAAAAGAAAGTATCAAACATAACAGAGCGTTAAAACAAGTAAAAATATAAAAACACAATATATATAAAATATAACCACTAAGATTACACAAAAATGTAAACTCTCAAGCCGTTTTAAAGTCAGTGAGTACAGATGTGTTTTAAGGTGAGACTTAAAAACACCAAGAGTTGAAGCCTGTCTGATATAAAGGGGCAGTTTRTCTAACCTGCCTGCTTTAAAAAGCAATAAAGGGTTTCGACACAATCTGCTTTTTCCCTCATTGGCAATTTGTAACATTCTGATCCTGACTGTATCACATTATAACTGGGATGAATTGACTACTTGTAACTGAATTACTTCTTCCTGTAGTGCCCTGAAGTGACTTGTTGTGTGTTGCCCTATATAAACAAAACAAATTGAACTGAATTTGTCTCACAAGACCGTTCCACCTGAGTGACGACAACTGACATTTAATGTTTCATCTCGACACACACTTGCGCAGAAACAGAGTCAGTTATGCTGGCATGCATTTTACTGTGGACAAATTGTCAGGGACTTCTAAYGAACCTAAACATCATTTATTCTCATTATTGTTTCAAAACAAAATGATCACCAGTTTTAATACAGAAACGTAGTAAATTTAACCTAAAACTAATAGCTGTTGAGGTACTAATGCAGTTTCTCATTAATAAAGTCTTCCACTGTTGATTGTTTGGGTTTTTTTTATGGTAAGCATTACAAACGATGTGACAACAAACTGTCACAGGTCAGGCACAGGAAGAGGTGTTTTATTGGTGGAATATTTATTTTATTTTATTATTATTACAATGCAACAGTGATATAATTCACTCACTTTCACTGCTGTGAACCAAAACATGAATCAATTATTCATGCCTCACTGTCAAACAAACACCGTGCATCAACTGAAAGAAGCCATAAAACACTTGACTCGGATTTCTTCAAGCAAAATTTATTTTTCGGTCRCTTCAATATCTGAAGAACGTGACATTCTTGATCGGTCTGTTTGTACTACCTTGAAGGGGGCAGTATTTTCCGTCAGCACTTTAAAAGGCCCCTAATCGCTGGTGTGTTTGCTTGTTCCTGCAGCTGTAGTCGAGCTAAAGCCYGTTCCTCAGAGCAGCACTGAGTGACTAATGATTCTTCAAGGATGGTGATTTGAACAACACCAGCAAATCAAAATCCTGAAACCTACCCGCAGACATAAAATCAACTGTCAAAGCTAAAGTAGACAGATCAAGCAAAACTGGATTTTGGGTTCGGGGGGGATAATCTATGATGAGTGGGGAGATCTGCGTTTAAATTTGTGAAGGCTTAGATCTGGTCCGTCTTGCAGAGTGCTGATTATAAACCCGTCAGTTTGAGTGACTCATGTCCTGATAAAACCTTGTTTAACCCCAACAGCAAGTAGATCCCCAAAGGCCAAGTGAGGAAATCGCCTCTCAATTTATAAAAAGACCTGAGGCTTGCTGTTGGTTAATCTGTTTTGACTTCATGCCACAAATCAGAAAGATGTAGGTGATTTTTTTAGATATATAGAACTGAAAGCTAGTTTCTTTCACCAACATGGCTAAGCCGTGTGACCCAGAAAACAGCACTGCATCAAAGTGAAGCCAGCGAGGCCGTGATCTATGAAGAAGAAATACTGAGCCAAGTCAACAACTCTGGGAAGCTATATTTAAGCTTCAAACCCTCCTCACCTCTTACCTTTTCATACTCGGATGCTCTGTGGCTGCTGTTGAACCACTGAAGATTCAAGTGCTTGTTCTCCTGAAGGAAACCTTGAAGCTCATTCTCCTGGGAAAAAAAAAGAGTCAGAAAGAAAATAGTGTTTAGAGCCGAAAAAAGTCACCATGATTAGACAAGAGCGCTGCACTCAAAGCCAGCGTGTTGTCAGCAACAGCCCATGCATTATTCATCTGAGGAGACTGCTTCAGGTTCTCTGCTGTGCTCCGGACAGCGTTGCGAAAACAAGCTGCCATTAAAGACACTGAAACAGTAAAACGGAGGAAGAASAGCGGTAGCCTACATGTTAGACTTGAACACACAGTTATAGATGCAAACATTTTGGGTCTTCTCTGCTTCATGTTTGAGGATCAATCAAATGAAAATGCGGCACGCATGCAAACACAATAAAAGATTAAATCTCTCCGCGGCAGAAGAGGAGAACTTGGCTCCGTTGGGTCAACAGTGGTGAGGCGGGTCATGGAAACGACTCGCAGCGTTCTCTGTGCGGTCCAGTTTAGTTCAGCTCCAGCAGCAGGGTCGCTCTCCTCGGGAGCAAAGAATCCCACAGTCTCATGCATGATACATTTACAGTAAAACTCTGCCTCTTAATGGCCCGTGATGGGGAGTCTGCTCTCCCTCCCTTTATGTTTTACTTATGAAGGACRTCTCAGAGTGGACTTACAGTTCAAAGTAAACATAAAGCAGAAAAACATGCGAGCAACAACACATGTGTACACGGAAAAGGAAACATTTAGATGACGCCTCTTAGGGATGTTCTGAAAGATCTCCATTATCCTAAACCTGTCTGCTACATTTATTTAGTAAAGCCTACCATAGAGTTGTATACATGTTATTTATTACAGCATATAAGCTTAAAACTTTCTCTTCAGTTAAAWTGTTAAAGGGGCAATATCATTTAAAATCAATTTTTTGAGTTTTATATCATGTTATAATGTTATACTCTCATATAAAAACATGCCCAAAGCCTTGCTCTGACTCATTCATGCATGTTTGAGAAATCCTGCAGWGTTTTTAGGAAGCYRTGCTGAGGAGCAAAATGACAGGTGGGGACCAGAAACGTCCCTGGGACGTGTCTTTAAGCCGAAATCCCTCATGGCAGAGCGCACCCCGCCCCCTACCCCACACACCCTGCCCATGACTCCTGCAGGCTCTCGAGTGAAAGTGAAAGTGAAACCTAACTATCTGCTGAACTCCTAACATTAGTTCTCACTCAGTGAAGCTCTTTTCAGATTAAAAATACCTTTGAGGAAATGTATTTTCAGATGCCAAGTGAACTGCATCATGGCAGCCCCCGACCCCCCAGCACCGAAATGGGTGAGACAGAAGCGAAGGTGGTTCTTAAAGAGACAGAGGCCAATTTCAAGGTATTTGGAAGAGGAAGTGATGAGAAGATAAGTTTATTTTCTATTTAAACATAAAAACTGCATTTTAATAACAACTAAAGGTGACATAGATACTTTATTATGGTATAGTATTTAAATATATGCCTGAGAAACACATAATATTGTCCCTTTAATGCTTCTGGTGTGCCCGCAACTGCACACCATAACTAATGATAAGTTCTGATCGGCACTAACTGAACTGCATGAAGGAAGCACACAGAGGCACGTTGTGGAGGAGAAACGCTGTCAAGGACAAGCAGCAGCAAGTAAACAACAGCCTGAAGACAACACCAGTCACATCTGAGTTCAGCTGCTTTTTCCTTCCCTCCTTTCTGCAACAGTAAAACACTCTTAAACCTGCATCCGTTGCGTCCTGTCAATTTTATCGCTTCCGGTACAAGCTTTATATTTTCAGTGGCATTCCCATTAATATTCATTGATCCTTCAACTCAGAGCAGATAGGAGTTGGCTAACCCCTCCAGGTATTCGTTCTGAAGGACAAAAAGTGAGTGAAACCGAAGGAAAGAAGAAAAAAAATCAAGCTTGTTTTGTTTTACTCGTTCATTCATGATTGTAATTCTCATTCAGAATCCTTTCCTCCAGGTTCCGGACGTGACAGTACACACACGTATCGGTGCAGACAAAAGTGTCTTGAGCACAATCAGCCGTGTCTTTGTCCTGTATTGTCGTGGTGTTAACGCTGTAAACAGATCAGTGGAAGTCGTAATCTCCTGGCAAAGACACGTCGGTGAGGAGAGAGCGAGTGTGAAGCCCGGCGACGAAACAAATTCAAACGCTGTGGCCTACATCGAGCTGCCTTCAGCATTATTCAGCAGAAAACCGAGGATTTTCTGCTGAGGCCAGATTTGCTTGAATACCAGCGCTAATGTTCATTTCAATTGTGCAAAACAGAGAATGGTGAGTTTAAATAAAACAAAACGGAGAATCTGCTGAGCTGACAAATTACTGCTACAACTGACAAAAAAAGACAAAGAAAAATCAGACTGCATGTTTGTTTTTTTGTTTTTAGATTGGACAGCAGTTTCATGCATGATGCCCTACTGGAATAAAAAATAACACAAAAACAACCTGACACAATAAGGGGTAAAACATCTGAGTCGCAGGCTGCTCCTTCTCTCAATGTGCATTTTGTCCATCATTGTGTGAGTCAGTCCGCTCTGACACAGCAGTGTGTTTAAATCTGAAGAGCCTGACAGATGAATCAACCCTGTCATTTAACTCATGAGCAATGCAAACATTTCACCCACTTACTTTCTGTTCACCAGACAGTCCAGGGTGGGTGATAGCTCCAGTTTCTGCCAGTAAGGATGACAGCCAGCTGTCGTGTTCTTGATTTGTTTGGATTTCTTGTCTTCGACCAAAACTATTTGCGTCAAAGTGGTAAGCAAAGGAACAGTCATCTGCTTTATTTGTCCACTGATGACCTTTCACTATTAATACCACTAAGTGGTTACGTAGTTAGTTTAAAGAACATTTTCAGACCAGAATGATGAGTAACATGTCACTAAAAGACATTTAACCATCGGAACACTGTGTTGTCTGAGCTGCTTTTCTTTCAAACACGATCATCCACTTTTTGTTTTATTATTCTAAGATTTTACACAAAAAGACACAATAAAAATGATTTGGCCTTTACCAGGTTCTAAAGTTATTTAAATCTAACATCAGGTGACAAAAAAAAAACACACAACAGATTTTCCAGCATTATACTTTAATAAAAACAGCTTAAATGGAAAAGCTGTTAGTGGGAAAACTAAGGGACCCTTTTTTAGCAGGATTAATCTTTTCTGCATGACAAACAAACTTACATCATTGTGGAGGTATTTTGCCACATTCCTCTTTCCAATCTCTCTTTCTACAACTACCTGGACATATCATGCAAAATCCACTTATTTAGCTATTAAAGGCATTTTGTTGTGTACTTGGAGTCTGAATTTAGTCTCTCCCTGTGTTATCTTTATTCTGTTTGTGTCTTTTTATAAACTTGTTCAGTTTTCTCTAACTTCAATGACATTTTCTGATCTATAACATCAAAATAAGGTCTTTAGTTGTCTCCATTCTCCTCTGGCTCTGGGTCAGACTCTGGCTCCAACATGTAAGGCTGGATGGACAAGTCTTCTGTTGTTGACAATTTTTAATAAATTTGTAAGTAAAAGGTTTCTGTGCCATTATATAGTCTTAAACCCATCTCTATCAAACTGGAGTGGACTGCTCTGGAAGCCGGAGGGAGGGGTGTGGAGTGAAGCACCTTATTTAGATTTAAAGAGACAGCCTCAAAACGAGTTGATCAAAGACACACCTCAGAACCGGGGTGAAAGAGGGGCTTGTGAAGTTACAATAAAGAGAAATTCAGACTAAATCACAGCAGTTCCACTGTACTTTTCTATTGTTTTTTTTTTTAAATTACGTCCTACAGGCTCTGAGACGTAAAATAAATCTGAAGCAGAGTTTTAGACAAAATCCGTGAGATTGCCCTATACGTCCTTATAACTGCAAAATGGGGTGAAATCAGTGCCATTTACGGACAACCTGTACAATTTGACATGTATGCAGATGGCTTCACATATGATTCTACAATACTTTGGTCTACAGAGAAGTTTCTAGTTGACTCAATGACTGGAAGGTGCTCGGTCCTTTAACTGTAAAACACGCCCAATCTAGTCATCCTTGTTTGACTGATGATGTGAAGCGTATGTACTGATATGCTGTTAGATTTTCACTGTGTGTTACTGCCACATACAGTATCTCTACTTTGGTCTCAGGTGTCCAGGTGTTCTGTGGTTTCATCAGATGAATCTACAGGAGATCAAGATGCAACAATCCTTTAAAAAAAGGATGTGTTTTCCTGGCAGCCCTTTCACACAAGCCACGCTTTTCTAAATGGTTTTTCCATGAACTTTAACCTAATCTCATAACTTTTTTGTTGTTGTTGTCATTTCTAAAAGCATTGCACAGTCTGACATCTGGGTGAATTTGCTCTTTCATCCACATCTGAGCAGATTGGCAGCAGTTTTAAAGGCTTTTAACGAGTGAATATTATTTTTTATTGTAGAGAGATGAACTCCAACATGTCTGGAAATGATCTACTCTTTTAAAGATCATTGCTGATGTCTTCCCTTCTTAGCATTGTGTTAACACACATCTGTATGCACCAGAGCAACAAACTGACAAAACTCCTACTTTTATAGCAGTAGTCACACTGATATTGATCAACTAATCAAATGCATTTGATTTGCACCACCTGTCTGCTACTTATCCTCTAAAATGAAAGTATAAAATGGTTAACTTACTTTTTCACAGCGTTATTTTTCCCATTTTGGCTTCACTTATGTTTCTTAAATACTGACATGGTTAATTTATTAGGTCTTTTGCTGTCTTTTGTGCACTTGAGGTTCGATTTAAACAGTTTTTTTGTTGTACACCAGGGCTATTCAACTGGCGGCCAGCGGGCCGGAGTGGCCACAGTTCGGCCCGCCGATTGGTTCATTCATCTCTTAAGCCCAAAGCCCCGGTTTTCTACTTTAATTACTCTAAGTTCTTTTATTTAAACACTGACATGTTTGGTGTCTACAGAAACATCAGAATCTTGGCTACAAGCTGGTAAAAACCCTGTCTATAAACACTCAAGACAGTTAAAACTACAAGCAGTTGAAAATTAAACTATGAAAGTGAAAATAAAATTGGTTTAAAAATTTGGCAAGTCAGAGATGTCAAAGTGTTATTTGTGGTAAATAAGAGGCATATGTTATTTTTGTTTTTGTTTTATTATCACTACTTTTATTACATATGGTTCTGTATGTTGTATTCATGATTAAATGCAGCAAAATAAACTATTTCAAAGGTAACAGGTCTTTGTAATACGTGGTTTATTTACATAATGACTTTAATTGCTGGATGTTCGGCCCCTCAGCTGTTGGCCTGCAGTAACTGTGGCCCCCGGAGCAATTTAGTTGAATAGCCCTGACGTACTCTGATATTTAATACCTTAGAATTGAAAGAGGGTGTTTTTTCTTCTTCCCATAACTACATATTTGCCATTTTTTATTGATTTCCTAAAGACCAGATCCCTTCAGAACCTCATAGCAGTTGTCAGTGTTGCATAGGCAATCTGAAGAAACATCACAAACATTTGACACAATGCTCACTGTCCGGCCTAAATATCAACAGAAAGCTGAAGCAGTTTTATCCCTCCTGCTGCCCTTGGGTTAAAATTATCCACAAAGCCTCAGTGGAGGGTTGTTTTGGTATGTTTTTTGTATTTTTGCCCATTTGCCTGTGTCTTTTTTTAAGTGGCCTGAGTGCTCAAACTGCAGGGTGGCTGGACTCTCCTTTAGAGATAGGGTGAGAAGCTCGGTCATCCGGGAGGGACTCAGAGTAGAGCCGCTGCTCCTCCACGTCTAGAGGAGCCAGTTGAGGTGGCTCGGGCATCTGGTAAGGATGCCTCCTGGACGCCTCCCTGGTGAGGTATTCCGGGCACATCCCACTGGGAGGAGGCCCAGAGGAAGACCCAGGACACGCTAGAGGGACTATTTCTCTCGGCTGGCCTGGGAACGCCTTGGAGTTCCCCCGGAGGAGCTGGAAGAAGTGGCTGGGGAGAGGGAGGTCGGGCCTCCCTTCTGAAGCTGCTGCCCCCGCGACCCGACCCCGGATAGGCAGAAGAAAATGGATGGATGGATGGATGGATGGATGGATGGATGTATGGATGCATGGATGGATGGAGTGCTCAAACATGGATTAAATAAAGTAGAATACTTGTCCATTTACAAATGTACTTTGCAACATGTTTTTTCTTCTGCACAAAGCCATGACAGATAGGAGCAATGCTTCTGACAGAAGGCATCTACAGAAACCAGTTTGCATGGGAAGCTGAGCTGGCTGCAGAGGCATGTGTTTGATGTGATCTATGGGAGAGCCTCACAGACCAGGTCCTGTTGAGTCCATCTGCTGTCAGCCCCAGTATTGATCTTCGATTAACACTGATACATATTTAAGCCGTGCTGCCAGAGCTAATGTTCATCTCCATGGTAGCAAGCTTTAAATGAGAGCGGAGGCTGATGGTCTGTAGTTAAACATCTGATAACCAGGAAGGTGGAGGTGCCAGATGGCGGTGACAGTGTTCACTCTTATTCATGCAACTCCCTCTGTGTGTTTCTACACACACGACAGCTGAACTTCATCACAAGGAGGCGTTAAAAAGTCTGGATTCCCAGCACTCAAACAGAAAAGTTAGTCCGTATTGATCTAAGCTGTTAGTTCTTTGTGAAATAGACTCCATATGTACACCATTTTCTCCAACTAAAGGAGGAGAAAGATAAGTCAGTTCAGACCAAACAGCTAGCGACAGTACTGTCAGCTTGCCAACCCTTCACAGTCTCGTTCACTGGGCCTGTCTGTGTTACAGCTCTATTTTCTGAGCTGGGCACAGAGGGGCACAGGAGCCCCGCCGTGGTCTGTGGAAACCGGCCCGTCACTCCCGCTCACCACACAGGGGGCACTTTGTCCTTGGGGTAGCTTCTCCCTGGACTTAGCGGGCCGATAATGGGTGAAGAGAAGAACACGGCTGCGAGCAGAGGAGGTCAGGGGAGGGCAGTAAAGAAAACAATCCTAATGGAGGATTTATTTGGGCCACAGAGAGCCACACACAAAGGCAGCACATCTAAAGGGCTCGGGGCATGAGTAGATGAAATGAAATGATGTAGGACCAAACAGTCCCATTTAAATTCCTACTGAAACCCTACGGCTCCTACATTTCACAAGGAATAGAAAAAAATCCCAACTGCATTACTTTGTGTCTGCTTCTCTTTCAAGCCCGTTTCAGCTTTTCAACCCAAACCTCACCGAGGATTAATAGAAGAGACGAACGTTAAGATCTTGTTCCCTTTCAGACTCAAGTGCCATTTATATTTGACAGTCTGCTCAACCACGAGGCCCGTGTGATGTGTACTTTGTCATCTTTACTTGTCTGCAAGACTCCAACAGACTCCTTCGTGATCAGCTAGGCGGTAGGCCAAGATTATGTGACCAATGGGACAGTGTGCGATAATGCAYGTGCAATAATCATACGCTCGTTCAAAAATTGGTGTAAAATTCTCAGCAGACAAAGAAGACTGTGAGAAGCAGAAGAAGAAAACTAGATGAAGACTTGTTTAATACAATACAGTCTGATATTGTCATTTGTCTTGCATTAGGGGCTGCAAGAAGACTGTTAAAAAATATGAAATTGTTTAATATGAAGACATTCACTTTGCTGTTCTAGAAAGTTTCAATGTTTTGTTTTGTTAACTGAAGATCCTCATAGTTTAATTGATATTTGAGAAGAAAGGGGCAGATATTATAAGATTTTTTCTTCTCTCTGCCATCTTTCATTTCATTTTATTTGTATTTTCTTTTTAATTGTACATAGAATTTTGTTTTATGAAATGAATAAAGTTTATAACTAACTAACTAAAAATCATGTATTCTGAGAAACTGCCCATCTATTTTGGATTTTTTTCCCCACATGAACAATTGTCACCCAGCCAGTTGACCTCCTAAAACTGCGGTGAGAAATAGCTAAGTCAAACGCTTAGTGCTGCTGACCCAAAGATTGAAGCTAAAATAAAATAAAATAACCAAAACTCCAAGACAAAATCCATTTTTCTTTCTTGTGCCATTCCACTGTTTCATGTTTTTCCCCCTCCTTTGTACCATTTTTTAAAGTAAAGGCCACTCCAGCTGGCAGAATGACATTTCTGGGGCACTGTGAGAAAACGTCCTTCAAGATTTCACAAGTGAAAATGTATGTRCGTCGTCGTGTAACTTTGACCTTTTCCAGGGGTTATCAAACACACATATCGTCGTGTATCGTTGGATTTCTAAAGGCAGTGTTGTACAGAGCACCTCGATTTCTTGTGTCCACAAACAAAACCAATATTGTGACAATTGCTTTTCCATCCACTCACCAAGTTTATATAGCTGCATAGTATGTTTCTCAGTCTCAAATGTATCTCCCCACATTCAGTTGTTGTGATTTTTCTGTAATTATGTTTTCATTGTGAGAACCCAGCTATCACTGCAACTCGTTTCCTCGAGGGACTGATGGGTGTGATGACAGCGGGAGCAATGCTTTCAGGTAGAAATCAATTTTAGGCTTCATCCTTTCATTCATGGTCAGGGGATATTCTTGGAGCACTTACCAAAGTCTGACATGTTTGATTCTTTTTCTTCACCTCTGCCTCGAGTGCTTCACACTCCTTCCTTCTGGTGCTGATCTCAGTCTCCTGGGGAGAGGGGGCAAAAGAAAAAAAAAAAGCTAAGAACCGCTGCTGTGGGTTGTGAGGAAAGCACTGTTCCTGAGAGATCATGGAAACTGGGCAAAAATAAGGAAAGCATTCAAGTATTTAAGTGTGATTTTAAAATGTGTATGTGCAGGTTTGCATGAACCAAAAGGGAGGCTTACAGAGATTATCTCAAAGATATCACAAAATACATTTGTCAGCAGGAAACGGCTTCAAGCTAATTAATCCAAATGGTGAGAAAATAAGGTGTACTTTCATATAAACAATAATGTTTAAAAGGTCAAATGTCTGTTTAGCAGATTTTTACAAGTAAAATATTAAAMAAGTACATGACACAAAATAAAGTGTGATGTTTGCAAATGATCCAAATCTTTTAAACGCCTCCTTCCAATGAACAATAGGAACCAAGTTGCAGACAGTAAAGTGCCGTTACTCCTCCTGATAGCTTTATTTTTTGCTCCTTAATCACAGAGACAAACTCTCCCCTTCAGTTTTTCACGCATAACAAGCAGAGCGGTGGAGTACAGCAGTTTAGAGGTGGGAAGGGGTTGTGGTGGGGGTTCCGCTTGACAAAACACATGGCTCCGCCCACGTAACATAACGAAACCATCAAGTACATGATGACGTAACTCGTTCAAAATCGAACGGCTCCTTTGAACGGCTCTATGAAACAAATGGATCATCAAGATCCGGATCCCTTCAAAGAGCCAGTTATCTCATCGCTAATATAAAATGCTTTATAGAGTTTATTCTGACAAAGTTTATATCTAATGTTAGTCTTTCTTGCCTGTTGGTGTGAGGTTCTACCTGGGCAAACACACAGTTTAAGTAAATTCATGCTAACAAGCCAGGAAAACTAACAWATTTATAGTTTTTATAACTTCACCAATGTGTAATTCTTAATTTATTTCAGAATTCTAACTCTGACTTTTGGTTGAAAATTTGCTTTTCACTCTGAAAAACCCAAAAAGGATCCATCATTGCATCAAAAGTCACAAATTCTTTCTTGTTTTGATCATTTTTGGTTTGAGGAACACTAAAAGCAGCTCAGACAAAGAACGAAGAAACATTTCATTTTCAGCCCCTTTAAAAAAACCAGTCTTCGTTAATCAATTTTAAACCATTTCACTGGTAAACATATTTATGTGTTTTTGGTTATTTTTAATTTATTTGCTTTCAACATGAATTTTCTCTCTAGGTTTTCACTGAAGGACAAGCTCAAATAATGCATTTTCAAATAAATAAAAAGAAATTATAAACAGCACTGAACCATGCTGCCAGTATCAGATGGTCATATTGTGATAAATAAAAATGTGTGACATCAATGTGACAAAATAGCTGATCGTTGTCAAACCAACAACTTTTGCATAAAAACTGTAACGAACCATACAGTCTAAGTGACAGAGAATGCCCATTTTGTTAAGCTCAAGCCTGTTTCCAACCTTTATATAAATAATCATTATAATTAAAATGTAAACTTGCTTGTACGTATAGAAAATGTAAGCTGACAGTTTACGTTTGAGGTTTTATTTCTCTGTGGGTCTTTACTGTTTGCTTTTACTGAGCAGTCATTTAGCTGAGACGACAGCTGAATTCAGAAAAGAAGCTTAGCTTTCTCCACAATGTGCAATTAGAGCCAGAACATGACTAAAGTCTGCCACAATCCCTGCAGAGGATGACTTCCTCAGTCTGTCGGTGCCATTCAGACAACAACCTCCCTCAGCTCTCTAATAGTGGAAGACAAGAGATGGGAGATCCCCATTAAACTCCCCGTGTGTTCAGTCCTGATAGAAATTTTTAGTGGGCATGCTTTTGTACACAGGCGGCTATTTCTAGTAAGTTTGCATGCTGTGTGCAGAGAAGTATATCTTAATTTCAACACAAATGTTGCTTACATGTACATTTATCACAGCTCTTACAGTGGAGGTTTTATGATGGTGTTAAATTAATCAGAACCTCGGTTTCTCAACAAAYGGAGCTTTCCATCAGTTTTAGGGAAACGCTTGGTATGGACTGAGAGGAAAATGGCGGTYGGATATTCCAAGATTAGTATATAGAATTAAACAGGATTTTGTCTGTGTCGGTGTGTGCGACCATTGCACACACATACACAGCCACACACACTGGCAGCACAATGCCACATGTCCCGGAGCAGGACTAAAATAAGCACCACTGGAGCCACCAGAAGTGTGTAGGAAATGCAACGCTCACAGCTTGAGTTGACTTTGAATGCAGAATATTAAAAATCATTCAAAATGAAGATTATTTTATTTAATACATCTGCTGGCCTTGTGATTCACACATACAGGCAGTATTTATTAAAACAGTGTGCAATAGGGTCAGAGAACAGGATGTGCAGAATAAGATATCCTTTAAATTTAGTGACGACCCTGCAGCATTTCGGCTCAGTGGTGATCAAGCTTTGACCCTGTTTGAGGAAACTGAACTCCAGCTTAACTACACCATGTGTGCACTCATGTCATTGTCTTTTTAAGTTTAAACAATTGTTTTAAAGCTAAGGGAACTGAGGGTTTTAGGACAAAGCTTGAACATTTTGAGAGAAATGTGCTTAAAATACTAACATACRTTGATGTTCCTCCACTGAGCTCAGTTGTACTTAGGGACTGACTTTAGTAGAAATCWAAGCTGACAAAATACTGATGTTTTGTTGATGCGGCTCAGAATCACAGGTAGCCACAGACCTGTGTCTGTCACTCCCCGGCAGGACTTTTGATTAGTTAGGCAGACAGTAATGCAGACTAGAAAGTAAGTCTGAGAAGATAAAAGTAATATAGAAAACATTTCTGACAGAAGCTTCTGGCCATTTTTTATGTCTACAGCTTTATAAAAACTCTTGTAAAGAAAAATCTGAGCCCACACAAAATGAGAATAGCCATATTTCCATCCAACTGTAATGTGAATTTTTAGCTAACTTTTAACATGCTGCAAAAAAATAAGAAAAAAAGAAGAAAAGAAATGAATCAAAGTAACTAGTATTGGTAATGTTACATACAGTCTTAAGATGTAGAGAAAGAAATAAAATTCTTATGGGAATATTTGGGAAGACTCTGACAGAAGAAACAGCTGATCARTCATGTGAGGTAAATGTTTGCCACGTCAGCATTTATTTGGCAAACGTGTTTCCATCTCCCCTTTTGCGCAATAACTCTTTTTCAGAAAATCCAAAAATCACCTCAAGTGAGCATAAAAACAGTTTTGCAAAATTGAGGAAGTTTTCTTTCTTTTTTTTCAAATTTTGCCATTTCCATCCACTTTTTCTGATGCGATACTTGAAAATGTGCATAAAAAACTTGGATGGAAACATGGCTATTGAGAGTTTAAATGTGTACACGCTCTGCTCTCGTGGGGATTTGAAGGAAAAACCATAAAGCCCTGTAGAGGTGAAAGGCAAGACAAAAATACCTGTATTTTGATGTATAAACTGTATAAAAAATGTTTACGTTTGTGGAAATAAAAGTAATTTTTAAGAAACTGTAAAGTTAAAAAAAGCTCAAAGGTCGGTGTGTGTGATGTCATCATTCTTTAACACTTTGTGGTAAAATCTTCAAAAAACCTTAAACTTGTTTAAAMGCCATTAAACAAATGAATATATCAATTCAATTGCACAAAGTCAAATTTTTCATGACTCATCTAAACTTTTTATCTTAGTACTTTGAAATATGCTGAGGTCCAAAGAGAGATGGAGTTTGTTAAAATTTCACAGCTGTGTGTGCTCATATTTTGGGGGTCTAAGTTCTCACTGTATGATGCATGATCTCCAAAGGAGCTGCGGATTTAATGTTTTACGTTTTTTTTTTGAGCCTACAGGAGTAACTTGAAAACTGAGATGGAAATGAAAAGATACAGGCAAAATAGTAATAAGGGACCCTAATAATAACTTTAAATGCAGAGTGAAGTTAAAGGAGTGGTTCTATAAAAATAACAGTGAAATTAAATTGTGTTTGCAATATTTTGTACTGATAAAACAGAAAAGAGAAACTCAGCAGATGTTTCAAATGAAAGACAAAACAGCAGCTCATCTGGAGTGATTTTATTTTTTTCAGGTGTTTGATATTTCCAAGCCCTGCGGCTTTGTTCTCCACCATAAACAAGCAGTGTAAACTTGAATGAATTCAAAAACTGCTGAGGGAGAACAAAATGTTGGCCACTTTCAGAGAAGTATACTCATGCACAATAAACAGAATGTTAACATTTTGTCTCCTAAACCCTTGTGAGTGAATCATACCAAGCCTCCACAGACAGCTTGCTCTCCCATGTGGGCTGGTTTCTGATACGTACAGTTTTCAGAACCAGTTGGTTACAGAGCTGAGGAATCTTTCAGCCACACACACACACACACACACACACACACACACACACACACACACACACACNCACACACACACACACACACACACACACACACACACACACACACACACACACACACACACACGTGCAGACAGAAAGACACTCATCTTCTCTCACACATACAAACACAGCACTTGCAGGCTTGCTGAGGCCCATTTGTTGGGAGCACATTTGCCAATGTTCAATTAAAAAACGCTCTGATAAAAGATTCAAATGGCTGCCATTGTGAGTAATGAGTTCTTGTATAAGTGAAGAGGCGTTTACTGCACAGCAGATGAAGATAGATGAGAAAGACCATCCCCTTAGGCCGTGGCCAGCATTTGTGCCTCAATGGCACTAATGCAAATACACGCATAGGAGAGGCGCAAACAAAATAATSTTTATTTCTGTACTTTTAATATGTTAGGGCCAATAGATTATTACTTGTGGTTTATGGGTTTGAGGATTATTTTTGTTGGTTTTGTTTTGTCATTGTGCTTTGCTTTCTGTAAACTTCATTCCTCTATGGAAAAAAATACCTCAACATACCACCAACAATCTGACACATTTAGCAAAATCTGATACAGCACAATATAATTCAGCCCATTAATAACCAAAACGTTTTGATTTAA